CTCTGACCAACTGGCAAGTGTCTTCACTGACATTTTCAACATGTCCCTGACTGAGTCTGTAATACCAACATGTTTCAAGCAGACCACCATAGTCCCTGTGCCCAAGGATACTAAGATAACCTGCCTAAATGACTACCGACCCGTAGCACTCACGTCTGTAGCCATGAAGTGCTTTGAAAGGCTGGTCATGGCTCACATCAACACCATTATCCCAGACCCACTACAATTTGCATACCGCCCCAACAGATCCACAGATGATGCAATCTCTATTGCACTCCACACCGCCCTTTCCCACCTGGAACACCTACGTGAGAATGCTATTCATTGACTACAGCTCAGCGTTCAACACCATAGTGCCCTCAAAGCTCAGTCCCCTCCTGTACTCCCTGTTCACCCATGACTGCATGGCCAGGCACGACTCCAACACCATCATTAAGTTTGCCGACGACACAACAGTGGTAGGCCTGATCACCAACAACGATGACACAGCCTATAGGGAGGAGGTCAGAAACCTGGCCGTGGGGTGCCAGGATAACAACCTCTCCCTCAACGTGATCAAGACAAAGGAGATGATTGTGGACTACAGGAAAAAAAAGAGGACTGCGCACGCCCCCATTCTTATCGACGGGGCTGTAGTGGAGCAGGTTGAGAGCTTCAAGTTCCTTGGTGTCCACATCACCAACAAACTATCATGGTCCAAACACACCAAGACAGTCATGAAGAGTGTACGACAAAGCCTATTCCCCATCAGGAGACTGAAAAGATTTGGCATGGGTCCTCAGATCCTCAAAAAAATATACAGCTGCACCATCGAGAGCATCCTGAATGGTTGCATCACCGCCAGGTATGGCAACTGCTCGTCCTCCGACCACAAGGCACTACAGAGGGTAGTGCATACGCCCAGTATATCACTGGGGCCAAGTTTCCTGCCATCCAGGACCTCTATACCAGGCGGTGTCAGAGGAAGGCCCTAAAAATTCTCAAAGACTCCAGCCACCCTAGTCATAGACTGTTCTCTCTGCTACCGCACGGCAAGCGGTACCGGAGCGCCAAGTCTAGGTCCAAAAGGCTTCTTTACAGCTTCTTCCCCCAAGCCATAAGACTCCTGAACAGCTAATCATGGCTACCTGGACTATTTGCATTGCAAATTAAAGTAGTGATACATTACAAAAGTTATCATTTTTAGATAAAGTATACTAAATATATTCACGTATAATTGTAATAATTGATTAAAACACACTGTTTTGCAATGAAGGTCTACAGTAGCCTCAACAGCGCTCTGTAGGTTATCACCTTGGGGTAGCTGGAGGTCAGCTAGTTTCCGTCCTCCTCTGGGTACATTGACTTCAATACAAAACCTAGGAAGCTCATGGTTCTCACCCCCTTTCATAGACTTGCACCGTAGTTATAGGCCCCGTGTAGCTCAGTTGGTAGAGCATGGCGCTTGCAATGCCAAGGTTGTGGGTTCGATTCCCACGAAGGGCCAGTATGAAAAAAATGCATGCACTCACTAACTGTAAGTCGCTCTGGATAAGAGCGTCTGCTAAATGACTGTGCATGTAATTATGACAACTTCCGGAGGACGTCCTCCAACCTATCAGAGCTCTTGCAGCATGAACTGACATGTTGTCCACCCAATCAAAGGATAGGAGAATGATCTCGTACTGAAAGCATAAACTACAGCTAGCTAGCACTGCAGTGCATAAAATGTGGTTAGTAGTTGACTCAAAGAGAGAGAAAGACAATTTTTGAACACATTTATTTATTTTAAGATGAAGGAGACGCAAGAGAGAGAGAGAGAGATATTTTGTTGTATTCTTTTCACTTTCAGTTTCACTTAGCTAGCGATTGTAGCTAGCTAATTTAGCCTACTCAAACACCCGGCTCAAACAGAGAGGGATGCTATGTTAGCTAGCTGGCTATGGCTATCCAACATTGGAACTCTTCCAAGTCAAGGTAAGCTTTTGGTTTTATTAATTTATTGCCACCGGTGCCCGCTGGTTTAACTGCTAAACTGCTTGCTGACTGTACACTGTACTGCATGATTGTAGGGGGTTTACTAATGTGTTAGATCTAGTAGCTATGTTGACTATGACGTTGGCTACTATGGTGACAACGATGTAGGCTGTGTGTAGCGGTTAGAGGTTATGATATGAAGGTTTGGCTTGGAAAGGTTTTTTCGCCTGGTCACAGACAACTGATTTGTATTGTGCTCTGAAGTCCACAAGCTAAGGGAAAAGGTGAGAGGAGGAGATTGCGTAGATGCCTGAAGGAATTATACAACAGGCAAAAGGATCATGCTGTTTGTATGTGGTTTGAATTGATTTATTTCACTAGACAGTGCCTTTGAGGTTTTAAACATACTCCAGTTGGGAACAGTAATGGCGCGCAGCCCATCTGATCCATGCCATAGACTCCTAGTCTCACCAGACTCTGTTGTCTATCTGCTCCCAGTGATTATGTTTTAGAGAAGTAGGTCGTTGCTGGAAGTGCTTGATGTTGGGTTGTGGCATACAAGGACAACTTTGGTGTGTATTATGAATCTACTTACAGCCTTTATGAATGTATTAAAGGTTCCTATAAGGAGTCTTGACCTTCAGTTCTTATGACTGCTTGTGGCAAGTCTTAGAAGGTACTGTCTATAATGCATGATATACAGGCGTTTCAAAAAAGTGTTATCAGAAAGTCCTGTTGTATTTGTTCATTTTATCAGATAAATTGGGTTGATTCTCTTCCGTGCTTACTCAGAGGTTCTGGGGAACTCCAAAAATAGTTTCAACTTCACTTCTCTCTGCCCCTGGTGATGCAGAAAGACACTCTGCCTTCATCGCTCACATGACCCTTCCTTCCATGCAGAAAGTAGTTCAGTGAATTTCCAATCCAGGTTTCTGTGCACCGCCTCCCCCCTGAGTGACTGTGACTTCCCTTCTAAGAATAGAAGGAAAGAAAGGCTGCCAGGCAAGACACTGATCATCCCAGACACCTGGAGGAAGAGACTTTTGGCCCCTGAGTTTGATGGATGTTGGAGTTCATTTTCAGTCAGAATGTCTCACTTTGACTTGGGCTGTTTTGGGAAGTTGTGTGTGCGTGTCTGTGTGTGTGTTTTCATTGAAAAGGGCTTGTGTTGTTTGTTCAGTGTACTGTTGAACATCTATAATAAAAAAAACAAGTTACCTGGCATGCCCTACTCTCCAGTTCTACTCTCTACTGCTCTTATGGTGTAAAAGTGGTGCACAGGCTTAGACCTGAGACATAAGACCTAATGAGAATGCTCTTGACATTCTGGTCAAGATGCATTTAAGTGTCTACTGAGACGTTCTGTTTCATAGCGTTTGTGTTGAACAACATGGCATTTTATTTTGAGGCAAAACACCCTCACAAGCACAAAAACAAATATGTATGAAATATTTTAAACAATTACCAATGTTATTATGTTGTTTCAGGTGGACTATGTTGCAGAATACTACTGTTGTCCTATCAGAGAAGGCTGTCCCTGACCTCAGGACAGAGAACAGTGTTGTCTCCAACGGAGCCGGAAAAGTCTGCATCTACAGTGAGGAGACCTACAATGGCAATGTGTGAGTCAAAAGGCTTGATACTGTTTATACTGAACAAAAATATAAACGCAACATGTAAAGTGTTGGTCCCAGAAATGTTCCATACGCATGGAAAGCTTATTTCTCTCAAATTTTATGCACAAATTTGTCTACAGTCCTGTTAGTGAGCATTTCTCATTTGCCAAGATAATCCATGCACCTGACAGGTGTGACATATCAAGAAGATGATTAAACAGTTTCCAGAGAATTTAATGTTCATTTCCCTACCATAAGCCACCTCCAATGTCATTTTAGAGAATTTGGCAGTACGTTCAACCGGCCTCACAACAGCAGACCACGTGTAACCACGCCAGCCCAGGACCTCCACATCCGGCTTATTCACCTGCGGGATCGTCTGAGACTAGCTGATGAAACTGAGAAGTATTTCTGTCTGTAATGAAGCCCTTTTGCGGGTAAAAACTAATTCTGATTGGCTGAGCCTGGCTCCCCAGTTGGTAGGCCTGGCTCCCGAGTGGGTGGGCCCCTGCCCAGTCATTGAAATCCATAGATTAGAGCCTAATTTATTTATTTCAATTGATTGATTTCCTTATATGAACTGTAACTCAGTCAAATCGTTGAAATTGTTGCATGTTGCGTTTAGATTTTTGTTCAGTATAGTTTAATTATAGTGACCTATAGAACAGAAATGAATAGTCCAGTCCAGGTAAATAGGCTAGTCTGGGGAGGATAGTCTCGACCCAAAGTTCCTATAGTCTCGATGTAGAGTAGATAGTCTCTAACGGGGGTGAGTTACCATAGTGTCTACCTATAGTGGATAGCCTCAACCCAGGGTGAATTGCCTTAGTCTTGGCCTAGTCAATTAGACCAAAGTTGTATAGTCAATAGTCACAATATTCTTATTGGTAACAATAATATTACCCCAATCCACAGCTGTAAAGTCTGATTAGAAACAGGAAAACGATACAAAAACAGCTCATAACAGTTTGAAAATGAATTCATTATTTTTAGATGTTCTCTGCCTAGTGGTTATCAACTTGTCATGTTCCACCTCTGCTTTGTTGTCAATCCAAAGAAATGATTTTCCCTTATCAACGTTCATGCAGTATTGACTGAATGCTCTAAATAATAACACCATCATGTTTTCATGTTGTTTTAAAGGTTGTAAAGTTGTGAACATTATTCCATAATCCAGTCTGTGTATTTGTAAAGAAAGATTCCAGTTCCATGTTTTACACAGGACCAATAGTTGTGCTTGGAAGCCCTGTGAATAACCATATAATGCCAGCATACTCAAAGTAAAGTTCAACTAAACTATATCAAACGCCCGACCTCTTATAAGCATAAATAATCAAACATAAAGAGGGACGTTACAAAGGTTAACAACTTTAGTGACAGTTTGATATTATCTCCAGTTACTATGACAACACCAATGGACGTGTGCCTATGGGGGCAGAGAGCCTGAGGAAGACCACATTCACAGGGAGAGGGAACGGGAACCTACACCCCCTTCACAGGAGGAGACCCAATGTGAGACCGGCTACACCACTGGTGGGGATACTGGTAATGAACTGGACCAAGACCAACGTGACCACTTGCATAGGTGGGCCATATTTGTTGGTTGGATGGATGGATGGATGGAACAAGGGATTGAGCGATAGATTAAACATTAAAACACACAGACAGCATCCAACCATTATCTGCTGTATGTGCTGTTTCAGCCATGTCATATGCTAGTGGGAAAGCATGACAGAAAGCGCTACATTCAAGATGCCATTCAAGAAAATTGCAGTATTGATCAAAATGTGTCTCCTTTTTTCCTGTGTAATGTGTCTCTTCAGCATGTACCCTGAGATAACATCAGACAAACAGACAGTATAAGAAAGCGTTTGACTCCTACCTGGTGAGCTACAAGAGCCTGTGTGCCGAGATCCATGACATCAGCGACCAGATGCAAAAACTGAGCCGAGAGCTGGACACCCTGGACATCTGCTATTTTTTTGCATTCTCCTCTATATCTCAGAGAGTGGCTGATGAATACAACCGGCTAAAGGACCTGAAGTGGGTGAGTGAAAACTGCCCCAGGGGGGCATACCTCATGTTACTGTACATCAAGGATTAAGCACTATCCTATATTTTCCAGCAGTTCTCGACAAAAGACACCAACTCATGCTCTCATGGAATATCGTATGATGGTGACAACAGGTAAAGAGCATGAACAATAGGAACTTTGTCTGATGTCGCCTCACACTGGTTCAAGATGCAACACTGTAATGGTTCTTTCTTGGAAGATTATTTACAATAGGTAGATTGAAATGATGAGGCTGTTTTCACCTATTCCAGATTACAAAAGCTATGCATTACCTTTTGCATGTTATTGTGCTGTATAATATTATGTATTTAATGTTTTTAATGAAGAATAACAATTAACATATTTTTATAAGGAAATATTGTAAATCATTCTAAAATATAATGTTTTGCAATGTGATCATGCAACACATTCATTCCCGACATTTGTAAAAAACGATATTTACAGTAGTTTTTCTTTGATGAAAGCCGTATACAATTCAGTAGGTTTGTTGATCAATTAGTCTTCCCATGGTTTGTACATTGTTTTCAGAGATTAATAAATGATTTCATGGCAAGTATTACATCTATTGATGTACAGTTGAAGTCGGAAGTTTACATACACCTTAGCCAAATACATTTAAACTCTGTTTTTCACAATTCCTGACATTTGACTAGTAAAAATTCCCTGTCTTAGGTCAGTTAGGATATTCTTATTTTAAGAATGTGAAATGACAGAATAATAGTAGAGAGAATGATTTATTTCAGCTTTTATTTCTTTCATCACATTCCCAGTGGGTTAGAAGTTTACATACACTCAATTAGTATTTGGTAGCATTGCCTTTAAATTGTTTAACTTCAGTCAAACATTTCAGGTAGCCTTCCACAAGCTTCCCACAATAAGTTGGGTGAATTTTGGCCCATTCCTCCTGACAGAGCTGGTGATACTGAGTCAGGTTTGTAGGCCTCCTTGCTCGCACACGCTTTTTCAGTTCTGCCGACAAATGTTCTATAGGATTGAGGTCAGGGCTTTGTGATGGCCACTCCAATACCTTGACTTCGTTGTCCTTAAGCCATTTTGCCACTACTTTGGAAGTATGCATGGGGTCATTGTCCATTTGGAAGACCAATTTGCGACCAAGCTTTAACTTCCTGACTGATGTCTTGAGATGTTGCTTCAATATATCCACATAATTTTCCATCCTCATGATGCCATCTATTTTGTGATGTGCACCAGTCCCTCCTGCAGCAAAGCACCCCCACAGCATGATGCTGCCACCCCCGTGCTTCATGATTGGGATGGTGTTCTTCGTCTTGCAAGCATCCCCCTTTTTCCTTCAAACATAACGATGGTTATTATGGCCAAACAGTTCTATTTTTGTTTCATTAGACCAGAGGATATTTCTCCAAAAGGTACGATCTTTGTCCCCATGTGCAGTTGCAAACCGTAGTCTGCCTTTTAATGGAGGTTTTGGAGCAGTGGCTTCTTCCTTGCTGAGCGGCCTTTCAGGTTATGTCGATATAGGACTCGTTTTACTGTGGATATAGATACTTTTGTACCTGTTTCCACCAGCATCTTCACAGGGTCCTTTGCTGTTGTTCTGGGATTGATTTGCACTTTTCGCACCAAAGTACATTCATCTCTAGGAGACAGAACATATTTCCTTCCTGAGCGGTATGATGGCTGCGTGGTCCCATGGTGTTTATACTTGCATACTATTGTTTGTACAGATGAACGTGGTACCTTCAGGCATTTGGAAATTGCTCCCAAGGATGAACCAGACTTGGCTGATTTTTTTTGATTTTCCCATGATTTCAAGCAAAGAGGCACTGAGTTTGAAGGTAGGCCTTGAAATACATCCACAGGTGCACCTCCAATCGACTCAAATTATGTCAATTAGCCTATCAGAAGCTGCTAAAGCCATGACATCATTTTCTGGAATTTTCCAAGCTGTTTAAAGGCACCGTCAACTTAGTGTATGTAAACTTCTGACCCACTGGATACAGTGAATTATAAGTGAAATAATCTGTCTGTAAACAATTGTTGGAAACATTACTTGTGTCATGTATAAAGTAGATGTCCCAACCGACTTGCCAAAACTATAGTTTGTTAACAAGACATTTGTGGAGTGGTTGAAAAAACAAGTTTTAATGACTCCAACCTAAGTGTATGTAAACTTCCGACTTCAACTGTATATCAATCTTGGATTGCTGATGCTATGTATTGGCCATTGAGAGGCTTTGAAGCCACTGGTCGGCCATATTGGTACTCCCCAGTAGGAGCAGTCCTTCATAGGAACGAATGGATTTCTACAGTATGTCAATTAGATGTTTAAATGACAAAATTACATGTATTTAAGTATTTTTTGTTGTAGTAGGGATGGTAACATTAGTCATCTCAAAAAAGTATACTTTGTTTACCTCACATAATGTAATTTAAAAGTATGAATTAAGGCGTCTGTAAAATAATAAATGTGGCAAAAATGAATGTAGACATTAATAAATGCATTTCTATAGCTTCCAAAATATTTTCAACAAGGTGGGGGAGTGCCAAGATCGAGACGCGGTGGCTTCAACACATAACCCAAACAAATCTAGTGTATATACAAATAATTCATTACATCTCTTATTAGCTTGTGAGTACAAAACATATTGCCCACATCTACCTGACATTCTTATGGAGGTAACTGACACAACTAAGGAGAGAAACGATCCACACACTCACCTTGTCATTTTGGCCGCAGCAGTCCCATCACCAAACAGCCATGACAACAAACTCCCATATCACCTAAGTGCTGTGTAGTGAGCTACTGGAATGCATTGCTTTGTGGTGGTTTCACAATTGGCTCAGGAGTAGCCTCTTGTTCTACACCAGTGTAGTAGTGTCATTTTCACCGCCATGGAGAATCACATCTTTTTGACACATCTCGAGGGATGGTAGAGGTATTTTCACATGAAAATATTTATGTTTAAACAAAGAAACTGTGAACTCAACATTAAAAACAGAACTTTACTTTCTAATCCCATTTCGTAGATATGAAACACCTTGTAGAACTTTAACAGATCCAAAATTAAATTGTGACATGCAGCAGGACAACCTGGCATCTAAAAATTATACCATCGATAAAAATGTTAAAGCCTTTGGTTCCCCACCTTTACAGTATATACACTTCTTACACTTAAAATTGGTTTTGATGCGATTTCTTGGCATATTGAAAGTACCAACTGTATTTGCTCTTTGTTTTCAACATGGTCATATGTCATAGGGAAACCATTTGGCCACCACCTTTTTGATGAAATACTTTTTGTCACTTGAGTCTTGTTTCAACAATCAGCGTGTCATTCATCCTCTTCAGGTGTAGTTGAAATATCAGTCCGTATTGAAAAAAACGGTGGTCATCTTAAAGAATATGTCCAGATGAATGATCTACTCATACTGCCGTGTTCGAATTCATATTGAATATTGAAAAGGCAGTCGTTGAAAAGAAGGCAGTTTGTGGTGAACAACTGTACAATGACAGAGAGGTTGCCTTAAGAAGAAATCCGTCGATAGTATTGTGTTGTCTTGTGAGGTATCAATCCATATTTGTGTAACTGTGGTGTTTTAAAAGTTGCCCAGTACAACAAGTAAGAGCCCTATGAGAGATAGGTGGAAACAGTTATTGAGTCCCTCTGTAAGTCTCTCCACTTTATCTGCTTGGCTGATCTACTAGTTCAAATGTCAAATCTATAACCTCTTTAAAGCTAGAATCATTAATTGAAACAATAACAAAGCGGGTACCCTGCCTCTGTTTTGGTAAAAAGCTGAGGGATAGGCCTGGAGATACTGTATGTACGTTTTAACAATGTCGTTTTAATGATGTTTTGAGGCTATACAGTGTTTGTTTACATTTACATGTTTTACAAACAAGCTCATATTTTGGGCTCTGGTGTTGAACTAAGCTCATGAGGCATTTATAAGTTATATTCTTGCAGAATAAATGGGTATATATATAATTAATTTATAAGTCCAAAAATGGATGTAGCAAGTAAGGATTCTAGCTTTAAGGACAATTCAGTTTTGAGTTAAATTTCTGTGGACGATGAAGATTTGGGTGACATGTCTTGTCCCAGTTCCATTTCAGCCACTAGCACCTTCTCCTTTCCTCTTACCACTTTTGTGTTTGCATATATGAAGCTTTTCTACCAGAATTCTCCAGAATTTCACCAAGTGTGATCTCTGTCTTGGTTTGAAACCCAACCAAAGGTCTGATGTAGTTGTCAAAAGTCTTTGCACCAAAGGCAATGAGATGTGGAAAATGAGGCATGGTTTCAGTGACCTCTATTGGCGGGACATTAATGTGTGTATGTAAGTCACTATGGCATGCGGATGGCATGGCTGACTTGGGTTGCCATAATGGTGCACAATAGGTGTGTTGGCACCAGTGTGCTGGCAATAGACCCAGCTGGCACTAGGCTGGTATGGAGAGCTCAGTTCATGGAGGCAGTACAACATGTATGATGTCCAGCTGGCGCTAGCATAGGATCACACAGATGGATCCTGATGAGTCAGAGGAACCTGTGGTTCTTGTCGTCACTGCCCAGACGGAGACTTCCTTTTGGGGGTTACTGTCCAGGGACGTAAGGCCAGCTGATGGAGCTTCCGGAGAGCTGCATGTCACGGATGAGCGTCTCGATGGGCGTCTTGCCCACCAGACGCATGAAGAAGAGCTGGGAGATGAGGTTGGCGGGCACCGCGCGGAGGGCGGGCAGGCGGAGGAGCAGGCGGCCGAAGCGCTGGGGCTGACCTGGGTACTGCATCCGCTCGTACTCTGTCAGAGCCACCTGGGCCTTCTCCTGCAGAGACTCCACGTGGGCCGGGTCTGTCAGGCCACAGGCATCTGAGAGGGAAGAAGGGAGGAAGAGATAGTTGAGGTGAGACAAAGTAGGAGGGAGCAGTACTTAACTGAGACGGGACCCTAAATAAAGATGAACGGTTGCTTTCAGTTTGCACCAACAAGAAAAAGATTGTATCCGACAACTAAAAAGGTTAGGTTGTACCGCTTCTGTTTTCCCGTTTTGTACACATTGTATCATTTCTATCTTTTGTTTGGGTATTTTTGATTTGGGTAATTCAAAATTGTTTTATTTACATGTCAACATGTTATGCTCTCAGGGTAAGTGTGCAGTGCAGACCTTTCAATTACAATGTTGACTACCACAGTTTTTCTCATCTCGTCCTTGAGCACACACATTTTATTTTTAAACGGGACACCCAATTCAACTTGTCAACTAATCATCAAGCCCTCAATGAGTTGAATCAGGTGTTTTAGTTCGGGACTACAATAAAATGTGTGCTGTTGGGTAGGCTACTCGAGGACCGGAGTTGAAAAACACCACACTACCATACATTTACATAAGGCCTGTGATTGTACTCTGCACTTGCATTGTTGTGCCAGGTGAGGGTACCACACTCCTCAAATCTACCAGTATACCCGTGTTCAGGCGTTGTCATTTCATTCAGTCAACAGGTGCTTGGTTATCCTTAGATAACATAGAGCAGTGCTCTCCAACACTGTTCCTGGAGAGCAACCCTCATGTAGGTTTTCGCTCCAACCCCAGTTGTACCTAACCTGATTCAGTTTATCAACCAGCTAATTATTAGAATCAGGTGTGCTAGATTAGAGCGAAAACATATTGGAATGTAGCTCTCCAGGAACAGGGTTGGAAAGCCCTGATGTAGAGTGATATGCTTTCCCATTAGAAATACAGTGTGAAGTGGAAACATCTAGCAGCAACAACGGCTCAGCCGCGAAGTGGTAGGCCACACAAGCTCACAGAACGGGACCGCCGAGTGCTGAAGTGCGTTGCGCGTAAAAATCGTCAGTCCTCGGTTGCAACACTCACTACCGAGTTCCAAACTGCCTCTGGAAGCAACATCAGCACAAGAACTGTTTGTCGGGAGCTTCATGAAATGGGTTTCCATGGCCGAGCAGCCACACACAAGCCTAAGATCACCATGCGCAATGCCAAGCGTCGGCTGGAGTGGTGTAAAGCTCACCGCCATTGGACTCTGGAGCAGTGGAAACGCGTTCTCTGGAGTGATAAATCACGCTTCACCATCTGACAGTCCGACGGACAAATCTGAGTTTGGCGGATGCCAGGAAAACGCTACCTGCCCCAATGCATAGTGCCAACTGTAAAGTTTGTTGGAGGAATAATTGTCTGGGGCTGTTATTCATGGTTCAGGTTAGGCCCCTTATTTCCAGTGAAGGAAAATGTTAACGCTACAGAAAACAATGACATTCTAGACGATTCTGTGCTTCCAACTTTGTGGCAACAGTTTGGGGAAGGCCCTTTCCTGTTTCAGCATGACAATGCCCCCGTGCACAAAGCAAGGTCCATATAGAAATGGTTTGTCGAGATCGGTGTGGAAGAACTTCACTGGCCTGCACAGAGCCCTGACCTCAACCCCATTGAACACCTTTGGGATGAATTGGAACGCCGACTGCGAGCAAGGCATAATCGCCCAGCATCAGTGCCCGACCTCACTAATGATCATGGCTGAATGGAAGCAAGTCCCCGCAACAATGTTCCAAGATCTAGTAGAAAGCCTTCCCAGAAGAGTGGAGGCTGTTATAGCAGCGAAGGGGGGACCAACTCCATATTAATGCCCATGATTTTGGAATGAGATGTTCGACGAGCAGGTGTCCACATACTTTTGGTCATGTAGTGCATATGTTAAAGTCTCAGCATGTTAGTCAAAAGTCCCAGCATGCAAGTAAATAGTTTGAATATGTAAGTATGCACAGTAGTCAAAAGTCTCAAAATGTAGCAGGTCGACATACAGTGGGGAGAACAAGTATTTGATACACTGCCGATTTTGCAGGTTTTCCTACTTACAAAGCATGTAGAGGAAAATCACATTGTATGATTTTTAAGTAATTAATTTGCATTTTATTGCATGATAAAAGTATTTGATACATCAGAAAAGCAGAACTTAATATTTGGTACAGAAACCTTTGTTTGCAATTACAGAGATCATACGTTTCATGTAGTTCTTGACCAGGTTTGCACACACTACAGCAGGGATTTTGGCCCACTCCTCCATACAGACCTTCTCCAGATCCTTCAGGTTTCGGGGCTGTTGCTGGGCAATACGGACTTTCAGCTCCCTCCAAAGATTTTCTATTGGGTTCAGGTCTGGAGACTGGCTAGGCCACTCCAGGACCTTGAGATGCTTCTTACGGAGCCACTCCTTAGTTGCCCTGGCTGTGTGTTTCGGGTCGTTGTCATGCTGGAAGACCCAGCCACGACCCATCTTCAATGCTCTTACTGAGGGAAGGAGGTTGTTGGCCAAGATCTCGCGATACATGGCCCCATCCATCCTCCCCTCAATACGGTGCAGTCATCCTGTCCCCTTTGCAGAAAAGCATCCCCAAAGAATGATGTTTCCACCTCCATGCTTCACGGTTGGGATGGTGTTCTTGGGGTTGTACTCATCCTTCTTCTTCCTCCAAACACGGCGAGTGGAGTTTAGACCAAAAAGCTCTATTTTTGTCTCATCAGACCACATGACCTTCTCCCATTCCTCCTCTGGATCATCCAGATGGTCATTGGCAAACTTCAGATGGGCCTGGACATGCGCTGGCTTGAGCAGGGGGACCTTGCGTGCGCTGCAGGATTTTAATCCATGACGGCGTAGTGTGTTACTAATGGTTTTCTTTGAGACTGTGGTCCCAGCTCTCTTCAGGTCATTGATCAGGTCCTGCCGTGTAGTTCTGGGCTGATCCCTCACCTTCCTCATGATCATTGACGCCCCACGAGGTGAGATCTTGCATGGAGCCCCAGACCGAGGGTGATTGACCGTCATCTTGAACTTCTTCCATTTTCTAATAATTGCGCCAACAGTTGTTGCCTTCTCACCAAGCTGCTTGCCTATTGTCCTGTAGCCCATCCCAGCCTTGTGCAGGTCTACAATTGTATCCCTGATGTCCTTACACAGCTCTCTGGTCTTGGCCATTGTGGAGAGGTTGGAGTCGGTTTGATTGAGTGTGTGGACAGGTGTCTTTTATACAGGTAACAAGTTCAAACAGGTGCAGTTAACAGGTAATGAGTGGAGAACAGGAGGGCTTCTTAAAGAAAAACTAACAGGTCTGTGAGAGCCGGAATTCTTACTGGTTGGTAGGTGATCAAATACTTATGTCATGCAATAAAATGCAAATTAATTACTTAAAAATCATACAATGTGATTTTCTGGATTTTTGTTTTAGATTCCGTCTCTCACAGTTGAAGTGTACCTATGATAAAAATTACAGACCTCTACATGCTTTGTAAGTAGGAAAACCTGCAAAATCGGCAGTGTATCAAATACTTGTTCTGCCCACTGTATAGGTCAAAAAGTCTAACATGCATGCCAAAAAGTCTCAGAATGTAGGTTGAAAAGTCTGACATGCATGCCAAAAAGTATCAGCATGTCAAAACAAATCTCAACAGACTCAGTCATCTAAATCCACATACAGTACAAGGTGGGAATAAAATAAAACAGACATCTCACCTGGCGAGAAGAGGGCGATGGCCTTAAGGCAGCTGTACTCGGCAGAGTCCACCTGGAGCCGGCTCAGCTTTTCCACCTGGTTCTGGAACACCCTCACCTGGTCCATGAAGGACACCACCCGCTCGGCCGACATGGGCGAGGAATGGAAGCCCGCCGCGGCCAGCAGTGGGGCCATGTGGAGGGGCAGGGCGGACTGGGCTGCGTTCAGGATGAATAACTCGCTCCAGCTCAACCTGAGGAGAGCCACCTGCTCTGACACAGGCAGCTCTGGGAAGTAGGGGATGTTCCTGGCCCACTCAATGGTGCTGAAGAGCAGCCTAGCTGCCAGCTCGCAGATGTTGTCAATGCCCATGACGGCCCCTCCCGCGCCGGTGGCCTGGCCCTGTTGGTTGTACTGGTGGCCGTAGCGGCTGCTGGGGTAGGGCTCGGCACGCAGCAGCTGGGAGATGAGCTCTGACACAGGCTGCCCACCATTGTTGTTGTAGAAATCGGCCCCTCCTACGCCACTACCGCCACCTACTGGGGTGCCCGTGGGGCTGAGGCCGGAGTGTGATGGGGGGATACGTCCGCGCTGAACTGCTGGGGTGGGGATGGGGCCACAAAGGGGGGTTGGGATGGAGTTAAGAAGGGGCAGGGAAATGGGGAGGACGAAAGGGATTAGGATTTGGGGTGAAAAGTAGGGAGGGCAGGGGGGGAGAAGTTGAAAATGATTCGGGTATGCTCTCTCGCAGTAGGAGGTTTGGCAGATTAACAACAGACGGTCTTGACCAGATAAGGACCATCTAATTCCAGATTAAAGTGAGCACAATGGGGAGCAGACAGATTCCTCAATAAAAGAGGGCGAAACGGAGGACACGCATTCTTCGAGAATCCTCCAACTGAAGGTTATCTCGAAGAATAAAACAAAGACAGCAAGCAGAATTATCCATTACAATTTCATTTCCTCTGATTAATTCTCCTCTGGAGTTCATTTTTTACTGTGTAAAGATTTGTATTACCAAAAGTGGGATAAAATATGACATTATGGCTTTTGTTTTCAGATTGATTGCTCTCAGAAAGAAAATGAAATGATTTTGCTTCTTTGTAAGGATGAAATAGAGCGTGGCTATATCAAATACTGCTATAATGCTCCCAACCATAGTTAACGTATTAAGCCATTGAGTGAGTCATTTAACCTTGAGGGGGAAAGGGAAATTCAACTCTAATATGCAGATAACGGAAGGCAGAGTCATCGATATTAGACTGAAGAGGCAGCATTTAGAGTTGCATTCCTCTACATTTTCTGCAACAGCTCAATTAAATCATTGTGGGCTATATCGTTCTGAGCTTCAAGCTACAGACCCTTTACCTTAGGCTACAATAATGCTTCATATCAATGGCATAGGGATACTGTATTTTACTTAGGGCTTCATTAGGCTAAAGTATAAGATGACATACAACCAGGGTAACGGTGGAACCATCACCACTTCCAAACAGATGGAATGTTATATATATTCAAATGACTATGGAAAAACAACCAACCACTGCATATACTGGGTTACATAACTTGGGGCTATAGTTACAGTTGAGATACAGACAGTGATCTGTGTGAATGACTGGTGCTCAGGGGCGCAGGTGGCTTGCTCCTGTATATCTCTCACTCACTCTCTCACTCACTCACTCACTCACTCACTCACTCACACAGGCACTAGATTAAATGACAAAGTGCATTGCATCGAGACTGCACGCATGGCAAGCTTAGCTATGATAGGGCCAGGGTAGTTATATGTGACATGCACTATGGCCCACATGAAAAAATACTATAGTATTCACTGTAGGGTTTTTGCAGACTAAAGTCTGCAAAACCACTACAGTGGATCCTGTAATATTTACAGTTAACTATAGTATAGAAACTGTAGTATATACTATAGTAATTAATGTAGTGTTTTTGCAGATTGTAGTATTTACTGTAGTGTTTTTACAGAAATTAATGTAGGTTTTACTATAGTGTGTTTTTGTTTTCTTATCTTTGACATAGAAGTGGATGCTTTCTCCTTGAGCACAAATTGTGGTATGGGTGAAGGGAATGGGCAAGGTATATGCAAATTAAATACTGTAGTATTTAATTTAGTTTTTTATATATATTGTTTTTGCGGACTGTAGCGTTTGTGCGGACATTACTGTAGTATTTACTACAGTGTTTTTGCGGGGGATAATACTGTAGTATTTACTATAGTATTCTACAGTATACTAGAACATTCTATAGGTAGTACTACACATGATCGAGGGATAATACTTCTATAATAAACTGTAGTATTGTTTCATGTGGGTGACCATGTAATGGTAAAAAAAAATAACTTTGAAATAAACTTGTTTTTTTAGGGCAGAAATCTACACTGTCTCTTCTTGCCTGGAGTTCATGTATCTTAAGTCAACATAAACATATTCTGCATGAATTTACACAGAAACCTATATATGCAGGTGTTCTATTGTATGTGGACAGGAAAAGTACCTTCTTTGCGCATTCCTACTCGAAAGCACTTCTCCAGGCGACAGTACTGGCACTGGTTACGGTGATGTTGGTCAATCTGGCACTCTCGATTCGACCTGAAATATAAGATCAAAACATGTCATCACTGCTATGCCATCCACAAATGATAAGGACATTTAGCTTAGCTGACACTTACAACAGCTACATAACCCTTGGCAGAAATCTATAGTAGCATATACAGTATGTGTACCATCACTTTAATGGAGGAAGGTCACTTCAATGTGATATAAAACATTCCCAGGCAGTTGTGAGTTACCAGACCATATCTAAATGATTGCATAACATTAATAGAGGGTAGCTGTAAAAAGATGAAGCATAAAACAAGATGTGATTCAAAATAAGCTTCTATTTAAATATATTATAGCTATAAGCTGGTTTACAGAACCAGGTTATATAAGTGCACGGCCAATTCTCTACTTTTAAATTAACACTGAAAAGTGTGTCAGTGTTAAGGAATTAACACATTTAGTGTTATGCAGTAACACCTCATATAGTATTTTTAACACTAGGAAGTGTATATAGTTTGCACCAATGGTGTTACACAAAAACACCTCATATAGTATTTTTAACCATTACGCAAAGAGATCAGTATCTCTTAACAAGGTCACTCATGTTGGATTAAGGACATTACAATAATATCTACACATGTTTAATGCCACATGCTCTTATGTTAGCAACTTGTGCAACACTTCCACTCATGAGTGGCCAAAAACAACGATTTGAAAGCCACGCCCCCAATATAATTTCCCAGTGTGCCTTGCCTTGTCGAGTGAATTATAAAGTTATCACGCGTCACCATATTTGTTGGTGACAGAGACATGGTTGTTGAATTCGTTCATTTTCAGTCCTATGATCCTATGGACAGCAAACTCTTACAATACATAAATATATCATAAGGCCTTACTTTGATTGCCAAGTTTGAACCTAACACAGCGGTGTAAGGAACCTTCTGGTTTACAGGCCACATCAGACATGCAAGCCACATTATGCTGGCTTTCAAAGTGATGTGTAATTCCTATTGGAATCCAACCAGAGTTAGGATATCCAACATTTGGAGAAGAAAAATCACCAGCAACCTGCGTTCACAATGACTGTCAGGGTTAGGAACATTGTGAGGAGACTACCTAAACCATTTAAACTGGAACAACCATTTCAGTAACAGGTGCAATAAATCTAACTAACTGATTGGATTAGTTTATAAAAAATGTATGTTATATATCTTTGTGTAGCATAAGACTAATCAATCAATCGAAAACACAAATATAACATGCAAAAACACAAATATAAGAAAATATCCTAAAAATGGGTAACGCTTCATTTTAAGGGGTCCTTATTACAATGTAATTACATATGTAATTACACTGTAAAAAGTATTGTAACTAATTGTAATAATTCATAGTTACACCGTAATAACTTCATATAACTGGTGGTAACAGGGATGTAACAACGAATGCTTGTTACCATGCTTGTTACAAATGTTTATGTTTCCGATAGCATCCCAACACACCATATTTCAGCCTGCACAAACCATGTGATAAGCGTAAGTCAATTGAAAAACAAACACCTCATTGACACAACTCTGCAATAAAGATCTGGAGTCTGATGCCCAGACCCAATGGCAAAAACAGGTTCACAAACGGTTCACATAAAAACAAACTTTACATTGTTAAATAATTTAACGGTGCATTTGACAATGTGTCAATTACTTTAACTATATTTTATTTTAATTTTTACACATTCATAAAAAGCTATGGTTAAAATTGTGAGATAGTAATTCGTGCTTGCCAAATTGTAAGCCTATAGATGGGTTAGCTGACAACATCACAAAAACGATGTGCGCGCTTCCATGTGGCAGAAGTCAGCGTGTTGTTGTGATTCTGTATGGCCAGTGTTAGCAAGAATGACAAGAAACTGCCATGTGGGGAATCGGTAGTGGCTCGTTTCATCTTGTTCTGGATACCATATCTTGTTTTGAGGTGTTTGACTGATTTCATGTCAATGCTAATATGGCTCAAATTCGCTAGCGAGCTAACCAACAACTGTAAAAATGTATTTGAGCGACAGCAAGTGCTCATTTTGCTAATATATTTATGTTTTCAAAAACATTAGACAAAATATAGCTTACATGTTGTCAACAACCTAAGCCAACTATCTGTTTTGCCCCATAGTTACTCATGCGTCAGTTTTGTTGCTAAACAACCAACACATCTATTAAGCTTGGTTGAATAAGGGTTTATAAATGCACTTAAAATGGTCATAAAACAAACTCTTATTCCATCATGTAACCTTGCAAAGGTTTCACTGTTGAGGAACACTCTCAGTTTTGGATGAGATGCATTGGTGCAATTATTTATTTATCCCAGGAATTAAGGCATCATGTCAAGTTCTGTCCAGAGGGGTCGAGAAGAAGGTCAGTGTGCAAAATCCATACATGAAAGATTGCCGCGAAAGAAACAAAGTGTTGTTGGAGAAAAATGTCAACACAGGAGAGAGTAAGTAGGTTTTCCATGCAATTTGTTTTGCTTTTTTGGATACATGAATTCTGCTGGACGATTTAGCATAGATTACAAGTTAGCTAGCATTTGCTAGCTAGCTAGCCTGGTGTTAGCAAACGTTAGCTGTCGTTTTTTTTGTTGGACCTACTAACTAGGCTAGCTAGCAGAATTCTGCCTGTTTTGATTTTTGAAAATGTCTGAATAAAAAAATACAAAGAACAAAAAAACAAAACAAAAACGCTAGCTAGCTAGTAACCATCTACATAATATACTTTCCATGCAATCTCTTGAGTTTTTTGGGATTAGCTAGCACTCTAGCTAGCTAGATAGTTTTTTAACCTTGACTAGCTAGCTACCTACCTAAAGCTGGCAAATATGCTATGGTCGCTACTCACTAGCCAACGCTAGCTGGGCTCGATGGTCTTATCTTCCCTGAACCTTGTTCTCAGGGTGTCCGTACCCCAAGGGTATCACGTGAGACATACTTGTGTCAACACAAGCACTATTATTGCTAGCTGGATAACACAACAACTAGCAAGACCTAGCTAGCTACAGTGGGGGAAAAAAGTATTTAGTCAGCCACCAATTGTGCAAGTTCTCCCACTTAAAAAGATGAGAGAGGCCTGTAATTTTCATCATAGGTACACGTCAACTATGACAGACAAAATGAGGAAAAAATATCCAGAAAATCACATTGTAGGATTTTTAATGAATGTATTTGCAAATTATGGTGGAAAATAAGTATTTGGTCAATAACAAAAGTTTCTCAATACTTTGTTTTATACCCTTTGTTGGCAATGAAACAGGTCAAACGTTTTCTGTAAGTCTTCACAAGGTTTTCACACACTGTTGCTGGTATTTTGGCCCATTCCTCCATGCAGATCTCCTCTAGAGCAGTGATGTTTTGGGGCTGTCGCTGGGTAACACGGACTTTCAACTCCCTCCAAAGATTTTCTATGGGGTTGAGATCTGGAGACTGGCTAGGCCACTCCAGGACCTTGAAATGCTTGTTATGAAGCCACTCCTTCGTTGCCTGGGCGGTGTGTTTGGGATCATTGTCATGCTGAAAGACCCAGCCACGTTTCATCTTCAATGCCCTTGCTGATGGAAGGAGGTTTTCACTAAAAATCTCACGATACATGGCCCCATTCATTCTTTCCTTTACACGGATCAGTTGTCCTGGTCCCTTTGCAGAAAAACAGCCCCAAAGCATGATGTTTCCACCCCCATGCTTCACAGTAGGTATGGTGTTCTTTGGATTTAACAAAGGATTCTTTGTCCTCCAAACACGATGAGTTGAGCTTTTACCAAAAAGTTATATTTTGGTTTCATCTGACCATATGACATTCTCCCAATCCTCTTCTGGATCATCCAAATGCACTCTAGCAAACTTCAGACGGGCCTGGACATGTACTGGCTTAAGCAGGGGGACACGTCTGCCACTGCAGGATTTGAGTCCCTGGCGGCGTAGTGTGTTACTGATGGTAGGCTTTGTTACTTTGGTCCCAGCTCTCTGCAGGTCATTCACTAGGTCCCCCCGTGTGGTTCTGGGATTTTTGCTCACCGTTCTTGTGATCATTTTGACCCCACGGGGTGAGATCTTGCGTGGCACCCCAGATCGAGGGAGATTATCAGTGGTCTTGTATGTCTTCCATTTCCTAATAATTGCTCCCACAGTTGATTTCTTCAAACCAAGCTGCTTACCTATTGCAGATTCAGTCTTCCCAGCCTGGTGCAGGTCTACAATTTTGTTTCTGGTGTCCTTTGACAGCTCTTTGGTCTTGGCCATAGTGGAGTTTGAAGTGTGACTGTTTGAGGTTGTGGACAGGTGTCTTTTATACTGATAACAAGTTCAAACAGGTGCCATTAATACAGGTAACGAGTGGAGGACAGAGGAGCCTCTTAAATAAGAAGTTACAGGTCTGTGAGAGCCAGAAATCTTGCTTGTTTGTAGGTGACCAAATACTTATTTTCCACCATCATTTGCAAATAAATTCATAAAAAATCCTACAATGTGATTTTCTGGATTTTTTTTCTTCTCAATTTGTCTGTCATAGTTGACGTGTACCTATGATGAAAATTACAGGCCTCTCTCATCTTTTTAAGTGGGAGAACTTGCACAATTGGTGGCTGACTAAATACTTTTTTTCCCCACTGTATATGCCTAAAGTATAGAAATCATGATGATGATAACTAGTGGCAATGTATAGTGTCTATGCTAAATTGTCATACATTCTTCTTCTCTACCACATATTCCCACAAGTCTCAGACTCCAGGATGCTTACAAGAAACAAACGGATGAAGACAGTCAGACATAATTGTCTAATTCCATTGTTACTTGTAATGTTAAAAAGGTCAGAGAAAGACACTCCCCTTTTCTAAATTAGCTAGCTATCTAGGCTACTCACCATACTATAGGATACAGATTTGATTCACCACTTAAATAGTTATGTTTATGTTATTGAGTGAGCCTATATATCTTTGTTTAATCAAATTAATCAAATTACTAATCTAACAATAAAATCCTTATTATTTTGAAAGAAATGTAAGATATTTTTTCATGTTTCAATAAAGTTTACTAAAGTAGAAGCTCTTTTGTTTGTAGGTATTTTCACTTGGTAATGAATAATAAGTAATTATATAGAAATTGCTCATAGGTAACTATAAAGTTACACTTCACTTTAAATAGCTACATTCTGTGTAAGAACTATCGACAACCTTGTACTTATGCAGATATTACAGATATGCACTCTGTTGTATTAGTGTGTTTATTTTCTCACTTGGATGGCGCTTTCAGAAGCTGATGATTAGATTGCTAGAATGGGTAATGTACTTTGTAGGTACACAATAATTACAAGTAAGTACACGTCAAGATACACTTCATTTTAACTAGCAAAATCCTGTGTAACACCAAGTAATTACATTGTACTTATGCAGATTTTACATGTACTCTGTGAGGTACTTGTGGGTTTATATTCTTACTTGGATGGCAAGGAGGTTCAGGTTGTCATAATGGGTAACATACACATTAATTATAAGTAATTTTTTAAATTATCATCTGGGATGACACCAGCATGGTAGACCCCAGTCAGTGAGATTGACCTATATCTGTTATTGTAAACTCAACCATGTTAACCCAGATGGTACACTTTTTGGGGGCAAGTGCTAGCAACAACATTGAGTAGAGATTTAGAAGAGTGCGCATTCACAGGTAGGTAATTAAAGCCTTTTGAGCTTCCAACCTTTGTAATCTCGGACACCCAGCACATCTGTCCACAAGAGATTACAACCTTGTGACAGTTATTACTGCGTCAGATGCATCTGAGAAGAAACAAAACACTAAATTGGTGAATTTAGTGGAAACTTGTCCATTTCTAACAAGCATGGTAAAAAGCATTTGTTGTTACGCCTCTGTAATTACAGACCGCAATTACAACCAGTTACATGTTGTTATTACAGTGTAACTATGAGTAATCACAATTAACTACAATACTTGTTACAGTGTAATAAGGACCCCTTAAAATGAAGTGTTACCAAAAAAAATCTACCTGCAGTAGAGCATGCTGGGAAATCTGATAATGATGGATGTGGTTTTGATGGGAATGTTTTACTCTCCGCATAGTAAAACTGACACAATCACACTCAACACTGGTTATTAACACCAACACTGGGGTTATTTTACACCACTGAGTGTTATTTTCACTCTTACAGAGTTAATTTAACTTCTGAATTAACACTAGAAATGTTACACTGAAAGATCAACACTAGGTAACACTGGCCAATTTGCTGTGTATATACTGTATGACCCAATCACTGTCTTTCCTTAAATGATCCATGGCATTAATATTGTATCATGCTCATGGATCTTTCATATGGGCAGAGTGGCTGATGTAAGGATGACTAAATTGCATTGGGGAAGAAATTCAATCATCTGACTTCGAGGCCAGTTTTGTACAAGAAAATGTATGAATTTGTATGATATCTTCTGGCAGATGGGGAAAAAAAAGTAAATCAATAAATAGCACACCGCAAAACAGCACAGTACATTACAAAATATCGCAATATAGAGCTGAACAATACCATTAAATGCAATATAGGTTTATATTCAACCCTCAATTGTTGCATATTGTTGTCTACTAATAATATTGACAATCAAGACATCTGCCAATAAACAATGATGGTGTGTCATACAATGTTTAATTCAGCTGTTCTCTTCAGAGACCTTTCATATCATGAAAGGCTCTCAATTAAAGGAAAATACCACTCAAAAACGGTATTTTGGTATTTGATTCATTAGTTCAACGTTGATACAGTCCTAAAATGTTTTGCATGTCAGCAATCAAGTTTTCAAGATATAGAACTTTCAAAATATGATGCAAAACGCATCATACTGTGACACTTTCTGTATTTTGAAAGTTCTATATCTTGAAAACTTGATTGCTGACATGCCAAAAATGTTGGGACTGTGTCAACAGTCTAATGAAACAGACAGACTAATGAAACAAAGTCCAAAAAATTGTTTTTGAGGGATATTTTCCTTTAAGTGAGGGATGACACAAATCCGGTATGCACACTGCTGTGGGAAATTGTAACAGCTCTGTACAGTGAACAATGTTTTAATGCAAGACTCATTCTAGCTATTTGCATCCATTTGCTTTGTACAGATGGGATATCCATAACAGACAAACTAAGGGATCAGAAATAAAGGCTCAGTGACATAGCTATTCATATTAATTACCCAGGTGTATGTTACAGTTTGGTTGAGGAAAAGGTGCATTTTCCCCTTACAATGTAAATTGCTTTGAGCACTTTAAAGATGCACTATGCAGAAATCACTCCGCCATTTCCTGGTTGCTAAAATTCTAATAGGTAGCCTAATTTCAGTTTATGTGACAAAACAAGCAAGTATAGTGTAGATAATCATTATACCATCTAAACCGTTGTGAAATATATTTTCCATAACCAAAAATATTGTATTTTCAGCTGCTTGAAGCTGGTGTACAAAACAGAAATTAAAACACTCAAAAATGAAACTTAAGAACGGGAAGCATAGAAATAGGGCACATAGAACAGATCTACCACTTCTTATACTTGCTTTCAATGAGAATGACAGATCTATAACACACATTTCTATGTGAATTTGGTCGGGTCGGCCAAAAAGTTACATGTGCAGCTCTATTATAATTATCAATCCACTTTGAGAATCCATAATTACATAATCACAATTATCCATTAAGTCTCACCTGCAGGTATAGTTGAGGTTGCGGCGGATGCTCCTCTTGAAGAAGCTCTTGCAGCCCTCGCAGGTGAACACACCGTAGTGCTTCCCACTGGACTTGTCCCCACACACCACACAGTCCACCACACATGCCTTGTCCTCGTCCCCGGCCTCCATGTCGCTGCCCCCTGCCTGGGGCGAACCGTCCTCCTCCTCTCCCCTCAGATAGCCCTTCTCCCCCAGCCCATTAGTGCCCCCATTGGGATCTCCCCAGCCCCCACTCACCATGGCCATTGTTTGGTTAGCAGACCACAGAAGGAATGGGAGACAGCCAAAGCTTTTGGTTGCTGCTGTCTAAACTTTCTGACTTTCTTTTGTGCTCCGCTGTTCAGAGTTTAATATTTGAAGGTTCTCTGTCTTCTCATTTAATAATTTGTTTAGCTTTTTGGTTTTCAAATTGTGTCGGAACATAAAATAGTCTGTTTGAAAAATACCCACACCCTCTTTTAATGTATAGAAGAGTATAAATGGTGTAGAATGTTTGTCCCCCCCCCAAAAAAAAACAATAGAGCTGTATTGTCTCCTCCCCTTTCACTATGACCTGGAAATAGTTAAGCCTTTCACTTTAGAAACTTTTGTTTTGCATGCCTGTGGCTTCCAATGCCCCCTGTTTTTCTTTCTCCTTTTTCAATTATTCACTCTTTTTGTGTGTTTTTTCCTTTGGTCCATGTCCTCCGACGGTTGTCTTATAGAAGTCGAATGGTTAACACTTCAGCCAAGAAACAGAACCTTTCACAGGAAACAATGAATCAAACACACATTTTCGGACGGACCAAAACACATCCCATTCACTAGCTCTCGAAAACCCTTATTATCCTTAGGGTTTTCACCGGTTAGCTTCGCACACGGTTGGCTGCGTGTGAACTACAATTCCGACACTGTGTTTTAACGTGAAGAAACGTAAATAATCATCACTTGCGAAGCGGTTTTCGAAACATATACTGATATGCCCCTTATCTTTAATATCAGCAAGAAAGAATCTTTCAAATAAAAAATATTTGTTTTGCACAGATCCATATGCTATGTGTGCCTCCAGTTGACGAACTACACTTCCTCCCCAGTTATGCTTGCACACAGGTGTTCAGAGCATGCTAGTCCTTATGTTTCCACAATCTTACTGCAAGCCATGCATTTTAAAGTTCAGAACGAGCGCCGAAGCTCTTAACAAAACTCCCCGGAACAGAATATACTTTTGTCGATAAGCGCTAAAGGTAGTTAGTGTCTAGAATGGGTTACGCATTCACTAGCACTTTGCACATGACTAGAGATGGACATTCTCTCTCACTGCCTTCTTTCTTTGGCAAGAATAATGGCTGAAAAAGGACCTCGCTAGTCCTTAGCACATACCTGGAGACGAAGCAGTGGCCACCCCTCATAAAACAGTCATGCCGTTTACCTTCCTTATAGTGTTAATGTAGAGTCCTAGTCCTTCTGCCTTTCTGGAATATATTACTTATATCCTGGCATTAGAAATAAATAATACAAAAGCCTTGTATGCTTACCTTTGGAAGTGCATTCATATAAAATTTCAATGTCTTGTTTTTGCTAGATCACTCTTACAGCCACGGAGGGAGTGAGGGTACAGACAGAGCGAGGCAAGAGACGGGTTTTCCAGCAATCCTCTGAGCACCAACAACATTCTGGTTGACAAAGAGCTCTTCCAGGTCACCATTAGCAAAACAACTTGATGTTTTTCACGGCTCACTGTGTGCCAATATCATCAAGGCACACAAATAACTACTATCAAGTCTCAACTGTGGCTACATCTACCCCCTCTGTTTAACTAAATCAACCAGTCTCTCTGGCTCTCTTCAAAATGATCTTCAGCTCAAGGAAGTGCCCTCTCTTCCTTGTTTGTTGTTGCAGAGGGCTAGGCTTTAGCAATATCCTTTGTGGTAGTGGCTAGACCAGTTTCTGATTCAGCCGCTCCAAAAATAGAGAGCACAGATGAGGTAGAAATCCAAAAAGCCTCCTTTCCACGCCTCAGAAGCCAGTGGAGCTACTCTAAGCGCATACTCCAGTCTTTTGTCAGTTCTTTCCCACCGAGCACTAATGACTTGTGGCCTAGCCCTGTGCTCAGTCCGTGTAGGTGCTTCCCGTGGCTGAGGCAAGGGGGAAGGGACAGGGCTTTCTCTTCTCCCTTTGGCTCCAGAGTCCACAAATTGAATTAAAATGTAAAAAGGCTAGGCTCTAGACAGACTGGCTGTTGCAAGCCACCCCACAGACCATCCTCTCTCTCTGTGTCTGTGTGTTTGTCCTTCTCCCTCAGTTTTCCTCAGCATGTGTGTGTGTGTGTGAGAGAGAGAGAGAGAGAGAGAGAGAGAGCAGAGCAAGAGAACAAGCAAGGGGGAGTTAGAGAGAGAGGGAGTGGGGAGGGGGTCATCTGTGAGCTCAGGGATTTGACACTGCTATTCAATCCCTGCGGTTGCCATGGCACCAGCTGCCTTATATGGACATTGGAGTCAAAGAGCAGATAGTGTGCTGTGGGGCTGCCGCACACACACAGAAAAATAATGTGGAGGTTCGCTTTCCTTGGAGAGAGGCATGACCCCAAGGCCTCAATCTAAGCACACGGCCAGAGTTACCGCCGACCATGCCAAACAACTCTAAGCCCTCCGACAAATAAACAAGACACCTCTTAGCATGGCTCTGTATCTGCTCCCATCACATTGGCTGGGATTTTTATGGCAAAATGTCAAGCTACTTGTTTATTTACTCTGTTCCCACAGGCAGGTTATGCAATAGGCTACATTAAATCTTTACATTTCAAAGCTGAATCCCCCCTGAAAATGTTGATAACAAAACACAGATTCCTCAACAAACTTTGACTTCAGTAATATGAAGTAGGCCTACAAATGTTTTCTCTGTGTAATGCATTAACCCTGCAAATTATTGCTTGCACTTTGATCTTAGCTCCTGGCCCATGAATAGACAGCTTAAGACCCATCTCATTGTGCAACAACAAAAAAACGCCACATTTTGGTCATCGCCATTTCACAAAGGTTCTCTGTCCCCTTGCTCCCTTGCTCTGTGAAGGACATGGTGATTTGTGTCTGAGGTTAGCCCCAAAGGTCACACTGACTTTCACCCCCCTGCCTCGCTAAACCCAGGGTCATCCTAGATAAAGAAACAAGGGCAGGAGAGAAGAAAAACAATCCTGGCTAAGAGTGCAGAGAAACATGTCATGGATCTGATCAGACATATTACTATGATAATAATATAATATAATATGCCATTTAGCAGACGCTTTTATATGATGGTATTTGAACTGAGAGAAAAGTTTATATTTTACTGTTACAGAAAGACGTTTTCAAGTACCTAAAAAAGTGTCACCAACATAACTTTTTTCCTTGTTTAGATCCAGATAATATGGATAATTCCAAGAAATTCCTGAACCCAAAACCTTCCCCCTGGCTGTGTGTGTGTGTGAGTGTGTGTGTGTGTGTGTGTGTGTGTCACTGGGACAGTGTAGTATTGTCCTGGCCATTGTGTGGCTAATGGATCATCAGAGGTGTGTTAAGCTGAATGAAAGTCACTTTAATTAAGCCTGTGTGTCTGTTGATTGTCACATCTATTGTTGGTCAAGATTAGCCTCCCCAAATAATGGCTCCTTGTGAATGTGTGTGGAAGTGAATGTGTGTGGGAGTGTGTGTGGAGGGGGATGGGGGCGCCGAAGATATAATAATAATAATAATATGCCAATTAGCAGACGCTTTTATCCAAAGCAACTTACAGTCATGTGTGCATACATTTTTACGTATAGGTGGTCCCGGGGATCGAACCCACTACCCTGGCATTACAAGCGCCATGCTCTACCAATTGAGCTACAAAGGACCACTATTAAAAGTGTTGACCTTCCTTTTCTTCCACAACATTTTCAAGATCCATTATTACGACCAATCCTTTTGGGATGAGCTACATGAATTGCGTCATGAAATAACAATAATTTCTTATAATCCGACATAAGCGTTATATTAGCAAAAGCCTGTTAAAACCACTACTCCTTGCTTCAACCTCCACAGCAGCAGTTTGTCAAGGCAAGGTACTACTAACAGCCTGCTACCATAGCAAGGGCTTGGTACATTCCTAAGAGTGCTTGTTCCTTGTTCAACGATCACATCGATGATAGCTGCTGTAGATCCAAAAGTAATGCGGAAGAGATACATTTAGCCTTTACTTGCTGTTTGGTATGTGTCTGGTGTTTGAGTTAGTGTGTGGACTCATGTGGTTTGTGTGTGTGTGCGTGTGTGTGTGCGTCAGTGTGTGAATCTATTTAGTGCTCACATGCTTTGTGTGTGCATGTGCATGTGTGTGAGTGCATTGGGGGTGGGGTGCTTTGGCCTTTGAACCACCAGTCAGGAATGTGGTTGCTCTCGGCGAGCGGTCCAGTAAGGAAAGACTGCAATGATGTCTGCCAAGCTCCACTGACACTGAACCGACAGCCAGGCGTAAACATCACACAAACACACACACACAGTGCTTACCCAGTGGTAGTAGTATGGCCTAATTACCTACTACATTGCTTTCCAACTAAGTGTAACCTGATATTAGTCACTCACACAGGGTATTATAGTACTACTGAGAGTTACAGCCCCAAAAACATACATTTGATCTCTGTAATTTGAGATACAGAGTAGCATGGCAGCTTCATTCCATTATTGCAGATCAAACCACTGACTGATCATTAGCTGAAGGAAGAGGACAGAACTGACTGAAGTTTCCTACCAGAAATAGTTTGCTCCATTTGTTGTAAGGCTAGCTCTACTTTGTTTTAACATGAGAAACTCTTCACACAAAATAGCTCGCTTGATGTTGTTGTAGGTGTGGGTTAATGAGGGGGGTCCAGGGGTGTGTTGGTGGGGTTTCAGATTACGTGGGTGCTGGGCACTCTCACAACAAACCAGGACACCCCCGTAAATGTTAGAAATTGGTCCAGCCTAAGGCACTCGCAATAGTCAATGTGTTATTTGAACCCTGGGTGTTGGCGACTGTGAACTCAAGCATAGCGGCATATGGAAAGTACTAGGTTTTAACATAAACTGATCATGGACGGCACAGTGGTTTACACGAGGAGGACATTTTCATCGCGCTCCAATGATTGTCAAACCGTTTGACCTGCAGGGACAGCTTCTCTCTGAGACCAGCTTCACCTTTGAACCCAAAGGAATGGGCAAGTCTGGTAACAAATACAGGGCCCTTTGTCCATGTCAAAGGAAAACATATGCTGGATTGAG